TGAAGTAGATTCTGGCATCCGAAGAGTGTACAATTTCCTCTTAAGAAAAATTTTATTGTGCAGCGATGTGGCCTTGTACAGTTTGGTGAGATGATCCCATATCTCCTTAGCTATCTTATTCTCCTCGATGCTTAACAATACTTCATCTGCTAATGCTAGATGAAAGTTTGTCATAGCATTCCCGTCCATTTCGATCCATTTGTTGTCATCTGTGAAATCTACCGGCCTTTCACTAATAACTGCTAGACAACCTTCTTTCATCAGGATGACCTTCATCTTCAATTTCCACAATGAGAAATTTCTCCCATTGAATTTTTCAATATCAAATTTCGTTGTCATAGCTTCTATTACAGATAGCTCCCACTATTTCACTATCGTGAATAGTTCTCTGGAACCTTTAAAGAATGTGTAATAACTTCTTACTTTTTTATGTTGGAGAGGATTCACCTTTTGGTGGCAACCACAAAGACAATAAGCAGATATTACATACTCTAATATGGCTCGGATACCAATTGTTGCGGAAGACGGTTATCGAATAGAGCAAAATCACAACTGATAATTTGAAAAAATAAAAATGAAGATAAAAGAGACACAAAATTTACGTGGAAAACCCTTAAATAATATATGGTAAAAACCACGGGCAACGGTAGAAGAATTCCACTATGAGAAAATAGGAATTACAACTTCTCTCGATCTACCAGGGAGAAAACAATGATAATTATCTCTTGATTAAAAGGAGAAAACAACTCTCAAGAAACTCTCTAAATTCTCTAGTATTGGAAGAAAGCTAGAATGCTTTGGGATGATTTTGAAGCTAAATGAGATGGGGTATTTATAGTTGAAGCTTAAGGACTAATTTAAAAATACCCTAAAGTTTAGTGACTAAAGTGTGTAAATATACTATCTATTTTTCAACAAAAAAAACAAATCATCTTTCGATGCATTAATTGTATGCACCTTTCGATGCTTTAGTCAACAATAACGTAAGCCCGACTATCAGGTAGAAGCCCACCAAGTTAAGTAGTAGAAACAAAAGCATAACCCAGAGATGGCTGCATTGACGAATTTCTACTGTCAAATTTAAAGGTATACTTCAAAGAAGAAAGTAAACTATGGCCAGGCTGCCTCCTTATGGACCTCGATGCCAATTGTGATGAATCATTCAAGGTACGCCATGCAATATTATATGTCACATCGTGATGCTGACTTGAAAATAATCCAAGAGAAAGGCCCATTGATCGCTCTTTGTACAAAGAAAACTTTAGCCAATCTTGGGATAGTAAGTATGCTCGTGCTGTGACAGGAGTTTTCAGTCAGTCCTTTAAATCTCGGCAAATACAAGCCAGCACTTAACTCAGCTGAGTGATCGTAGCCATATGCCAACGAACCATCCCAAAGATCCCCATAACCAAACAAATTTTTGTACTTGAGAGATCCTTCCACTGTGGAAGATCTAGCCTACAATAGCATTTTACAAATTTAAAGCAGAAATTGAAGGTCTCATACTCATAAATTCATAGAAAATGAGTGATCAGAAGGCAGAAGGAACAGAACTTTTCATGTCAAAGCTAGCATGAATATCATGTATGTCTACAGTTTTTTTTTTTTTTGCAATATCACATTTGGTTGGTCGCATGTAGACATATGATGCATGGTATAAATATCATACAAAAGGAACAAAATCCATCATTATTACATTGGAAAAAACTTATTTGACAGCTACGAGTATTCAACCTTATTCAATGGGCATCTTTTCTGCTATTTTATCCATCTAAACCTCCAGTAAAGATCATAACTCCAGCCATGTAAATCCTCTAAGGTGCAAGATTCTCATTCGTTAACATGGTCGTTAGTCCATATAAGCTCCAATCTGTCCCGAAAGCGGACTGGCAGTCTAAAAAACTTCGATAATCACATTAGCAGTTCCAGGCAGTTCAGACGGACCTGAGTCGAGCGTGATTCTCACTGAATCAAATATTTCTAGAACTTGGAGCCGCAAATTCCCAATCTGCGAAGCTTTTAAGAGCTCTTGCATTGAGCCGACGTCGTTCAACACCTCCGTCTCGGCTTCAATTATATGGTCCTTGGTTTTCGTTTTCCCTTTGATGATCACATCGTGGACTCGGACCGAGACCGGTCCGGTTTTCATCCGCTGCATTAGCGAGTCCATTTTGAGTTTCTCCGAATGGAACCGAGCCTCTCGTGATTGAGGTTTATGTCGGTCGGTCCCCTAATTACGCCATCGCTTTCGTATTCGTCCTCCTCATTGCCTTCGAAGTCATTTTCGTCGCCTCCGTCGTCAATTTCAGTGTTGTTGAAGGTTTTTGGTGTTCCGTGTCGGGTACGGAATCGGAGTTTGGCATTTGTAAATGGAAAACAAGGGGAAGGTTCCACTTTGCAAAGCGAAGACAGTGAAGTGAGGATGCGCGACGCCGGTGCCAGCCTGCCAGGGGTTTTTGATGTTAAAGGTTTATTAAGGAAGATTTTGACTTTGCTATTTGCTAATATACATACCCTTTTACTTTTTCTTATTTACTTCTTTTACGACTAATATTTGGGCATTGGCTGATTTAGCCTAGAAATTATCTAATTTATAAATAAAGGGTAAATGAATCACATTATTAATTCGGTTGTAAATTAATCACTATTTTTCTTTTAAAAGTTATAATTTAATCTTATAAATTATTACAAATATATCCCTTTGTAGTCAAAATTAAAATAAACATGTAATTAGTATAATAATAGATCAATCTTTAAAATTTATATATTTTATAAATACCAAATATTATTCGGAATTACGACTAAATCTAAATCTCAAATCCATAATCTATACAGCCTATCAAACACAACTCTTTAGGAGTCAAGATCAAATTCAAAACCTAATCAATCCCTAAATTCCTCAATTTCCTTTCTCTTTGAACTTAAAAATAGTTCCAACTAGGCCTGTAAACGAACCGAACGCACACGAACGGAGGTATGTTCATGTTCGTTCATTTAATAAATAGACGAACATAAACGAACACGAACATAAACGAACAAATTTTTTTTTGTTCATGTTCGTTTATTAATGAATATAATATGTTCATGTTCGTTCATTTAATAAATAAACGAACATAAACGAACACGAACATAAACGAACACGAACATAAATGAACACGAACATAAACGAACATAAACGTTGGAGACCCTACCTTCCATTGTTCTTTCATGAAAAATAGTCGACAATGCAAATCAACCAAATCTACAGTGATAAATAGCGTAAGAGTTTATTAGCAGTGATGAAATGTTTGAAGATATCAAATATTTTGATCGATCTTTTAAAGATATTAAATGATTCACACAACTTTAATTTAACGCTATAACATTTATCTTAGTGGTCCATGATTACATATGAACAATCATTTTTCGCTATTACACTCTTTTCAGAAATTGCATAGAAACTTTTGTTTTGTTTTCTGGCAAATTCTATATATTTTTCTCTTTATTGATGCTCATATACTTCCGATTGTTACCTTTATCTTCCCATCTATTTCTAGAAAGAAGTATGATGTTTTCTTGAGTTTTAGATGTGAAGATACCTGCAATAACTTTACATATCAACTATTAAGCCAAATAAAACAGAGAAAGAGATGAAAACAGACCTGTAAAACTTCATATTGCACTATAATATAACTTGTTTTGAAGCTTTCAGCGATCGTCTCCACTCTCTAGTGGACACTAGGGTTTGGGAAAAAAGGGAGAAATGAATATAGGTGCGATGTGCCTCACAGGTTGACATATTGGATTTAATCTCTAAATAAAATTGGGTTAATTATAGAGTTGGTCATCAGAATATCAGATTAATTAATATTTTTAAGATACTTACAAATTGGTCACCAAAATTGATTTAAGAAGATTGAGTTAAACATAAATGAATGAACATAAACGAACATAATCGAACGAACATAAACAAACATAACCGAACGAACATAATCGAACGTTCACGAACGTAAATGAACGAACGAGACCTATGTTCACGTTTGTTCATTTAATTAAACGAACAAAAAATATTGTTCATGTTCGTTCATTTAATAAATAAACGCACATAAACGAACTTCCCGCCGCACGGTTCACGAACGGTTCGCTGAACGTTCAGTTCATTTACAGGCCTAGTTCCAACCTATTCTATTAATTTGATCCTAATTTAAAATAATTAAATAAATTTAAACTTTCGTATTTAAAAATTTTATTAATTTAATATTTTTTACAATATGATCAAATCAAACGAGTCTATTAGATCAAACAATAATTAAATAACTACACTTTATTGTAAAGCAATAAATTATTATTAAATTATTATTACATCTGCCAATGACATCGGGAAACCTGAGTTGTACTAGTTACCCTTACACAATAAAAAAATATTATTACATCATGGAAGTAATAAGAACGTAAGAACACACCATTTAAGAGAAGAATAAGAGCTAAATTGGTTAAATAATAAATTTATTGAATTATTTCGACCAAATTAATAAAATATATAAATTTTAAAGATTAAAATTTTATTATATCACACCTAATTACTGTTATATATAGTATTTAACGATAAACCTAATTACTTTCAAATATAATATTTAATGATAAACCTAATTACTGTTATATATAGTATTTAATGATAAATAATTTATTTGTAATGATATTTTAGTTGAGTGATTAAATTGTAATTTTTTTTAAAAAAAAGTTGTTGGTTTGAAATTCACTAATAATTGAGTTCATCTGCTTCACATAGTCCAAGTTATCTTTCTCCTGAAGCACCGTGATTAAAATATGAATCTAATAGATATACATGTATGAGTATAAAAATAAGACCTCCATTCATTAATTTTAGGTATGTTTTGGAGTTTAAATGGTTGGATTCCTCATTTCTGTTTACAATTTTCTAGGAAACCAAAAAGAACAACAAATAGAAGCCAATAGGCTTGCAGTAACGCATTGTCCTTGTGTACACATTGAAATCCATAATAGTGAAGATTTCCCATATTTTCCTCTCTGTGTTGAATCTATATATGTATATGCGTATGTTTACAACAAATGTTCCATTAACCTAAGTTAATACAACCAGTGCTGATCTGCAGGCAACCTTCCTTTTGCCTTTCCACTACCTTCATCCGCTATCTTGCTTCGGTGGACATAATCTCGAGCTCTGCCCACCAAAGAGGAGAAACTTTCGGGATCGCACCTTCTGGCGTAATCGCGGTGATCTCTCTCAGTCGTGCACCGACTTTCCTCATATCCGGTCTTTGTCGAGGTTCAGGGTGGACACAAGTTTTGATCACCTCTCCGATTTTCTCCACTTGATACGGTTTGAAAGAGTTTAGAGTCGGATCAACCATCTCCATCAGTGATTGATCTCTTCTCAAATAGTCCGATGCCCAGTCGTCGAGTGAACCATTGTCGTCCACAAAGTACGGCATCCTTCCTGTTACGATTTCGAATAATACTACCCCAAAGGTATACACATTACTTTCTAGGCTTGGTAATGGCGTATCTGAATGGTTTTTTCTATCAACTTCACTCTCGGCTGCATTCCAGGAGAATGGATCGAAGATTTTGGCCGCACAGTCTTCAGTTAGATTGACGACAGCTGACGACAAGTTGGTATGCGGTACGGGAGGGTTCAGCTGGTGCATATGTTCCAGGCAGGAAGCCATGCCCACCATAATTCTCGACCTCGTTGCCCAGTCCAAGTGCTCGGATTCTTTAACTGCAATATCATTCCAAATACATAAGAAAAATATAGAAAAAATGGAACATACCCGTGTCAGACTCGTATCCGATGCAAACACCGAGTCCATGTAACATAAAGGAAACACATTGATACTTACTGTGTAAATGCTCAAAGAGTGTTCCATTTGGAGCATATTCAAAAACCATCATCCTAGTAAAAGGTTTATCTTCCTCGCAATATCCGACAAGGTTGGCGAAATTTTTGTGGTTCACTTTCGACAACATTTCGATCTGGAATCATAAAATTAGAAAGAGTTAGACGAACCGATAAGATCCAACACTCGCACTCAAGTCCGAGTAACGGAAATGTATACTTTCTGTACCATACCTTCTTTCTGAACTGTGTTTCTAAATTACATGACCACTCTTTGGCAGATTTCTCGGGGATGGAGGTCACAGAAATTTCAATCCCACTAGACAGTGTCCCTTTGTACACAGTGGCAACAGCTGATGAACTAATCACATTGCTGAAATCTTCACAGGCTGCTTCCAGTTCCGATCTCTTCAGCTTCGGTACACCTGAATTGCAACAACTATGTTATTCGAATATGGTTATTGTTCGAAAATGTGTTGGACACAAGTTTTGGGCATGAGTCTTACCAGTTACAAATGCTTTCTGCAGCTGTCCGCTTAGGCCAGTGGCCCAAGGTTTCACAGTAGATACCTTATAAGTTTTAAAGAGATAGGCAATGGCTATCAATATTAGAAGGAACACGCTGCCGCTCCCTATGGCTATGACGAGTATAGTGCTTTGATGGCGCCGAGGAGCATTCGGGGTTGACAGAGAAGGAGACGGAGCAGAAGCATTCGGGATTGACAGAGAAGGGGCTGGAGCAGAAGCATTCGGGGTTGACGGAAGAGGAACTGGAGAGGAAGATCGGTTAGCCTGAACATCTCTTCTGAATGTATTATTACCGGAAGGTTCAACAGATGCTGGAGGAGTCGGAAACCGAGGTGGACCACGAGGAGGTAAAGGCATTTCGAAGTTTATAAAGGGTGGCAATGGCGTTGCTTGAAGAAGTCTCCTTCGCATTGCATCTTCAGTTTTGCCATCATTCCTAGCAGAGATAATCAAGAATGATGAAAAAACAAAAACACCTAATCATAAAGAAAAAAATTCGGATATTTAAAGCAAAATGAAGAGTCGGAGCAACACCGAGAACGACTTCTATTGAAATATACTGGCATACCATGTATTGAACCTTTGCTTGCAAGACATTTTACCATTCTTAGATAGTTGTTTCTCATCCACTTGAGTTTCAGAATGCTGCAGGAGTTGATATATCTCAGGAGAAAAACTACTGAGAAGCTCATTATTGTCCAGTAAACTGCAACATAGGCATAAAAGTAAGTATACTAGAGAAAGAAAAATTCCGGGAACAAACGGATTCCGATTCAAATTTTACAAAAAAAATGTAGATATTCGATCTGGTTTCATCCCTAGAACATTGCCAACTTACAGGATTGTTAATGACCAATTGCTTCCGAGTTCGGGTGGAACCGGTCCGCTGAAGTTATTGAATCCCAAGTCCAACACCTCTAGTTCCTCCAGTTTTCTGATCTCTTCGGGGATAACACCGGCAAAAGAGTTGTTCCTCAAAATACTGTAGAGGAAACAATGGCATTAGATCGACTCGGGTGTAAGTATACATGTTCAATATGAGTATATGAACTGATACGAGTGTCGAACGTAAGTATTTCGAAAAGAATGAATAGTCCGAGTAACATGGATACCAATGATGGGATAAACAAGAATAGTAACTCACATAGACTTAATATGAAGTAGAGATCCAAGCTCAGGTGCCAATGTTCCTTCAAGACAAAGATCTTTCAAGTTCCTGAAATTCGATTCATTCAATCAAACTTTAGTAACAAATTGAAGTAATCCATCAGAATTTCCATATCCTAAATACAAAAGTCTAGAATTCGCAACATAAGTGAAAAACATTACTAAAGAACTCAAGATTTCAATTCATTTCCCTTTCTTTGTCTCGGAAACCAAACAACAACAATCAGAAAAGGGCTATTTGGAGCAAGAATATTGAAAAAACAAACTTACAAAACAACAACTTTGCCATCAGAACATTCGACACCAAACCAGGAACACTGGTCAACGTCTCCATCTTCTTCTTTCCAATTCGACAATGAACAAAATGGATCATTCACAATTCTCTCCTTTAACTTCAACAACGCCAATCCTGCATATTATCCATTACCAGACATATATTTTCCTCCACTTTCCCAGCAAACAAACAAAACGCAGGAATTAAAAACAAAAAAGAAAGAAAATAAAAACTTACCTTCTTCATTCAATGACCAACATACAAAAGTTTGACATAAGAAAAACAGCAAGAAAAAAAATCCGAAATCTTGTTTCAGTCTTACAAACTTGCAATTCTTGTCCATCATCATCGGCTTCCTTCTTTCTTCTTTTGATCAAAGCTTAGCACAAACAATAAAAAAAACCAAAACCAGGAATTTTTCACCGAGTTGAAACTTGAAACAGAACGCGGAACCGAGTCAGAGGCTGAATCGAACACGATATTCAGACTTCAAGTTTTATAAGATTTTTCCTTTGTTTTTTGGTTTTGAAAACGCGTACACTTAAAAAGACTGAGGGCTCTGAAATGAACCTTTTAAAATTCTTTGTTTATCTATTTGAAAATTCGGTTTTGTCGTTTTTCTAACCGCGGTAAAACAAATAAAATTAATCCATTTTAATCTCAAATCTTTCGCTCCTGGTTGCCGGCGGCGGTAAAATGGGATTGTCTCATAAAGTCAGTTTAATATACGATGTTATCGGATATATTAAAAGATATTTAATAAATTTGGTTTAGCGCTACCGAAAATGTTGATAGACTAATAATATTTTAGGTAGAAAACATAAAAAACTATTAAAAAATTAGTAACTGGTAAACTTTGATTATCGGTAAGTATCGAAACATATATATAAGTGTCTATACTTATTTCACTGTGGAAACATTAATTTAAGTTTATATTTTGAGTGAGTTTTAAGATATTAATTTAGTAATTATACGCGTCTAATGATTTATTTTTTAAGTTTCGGTATATATTATTATTAAATTAAAAACAATAAATATAGATATTACATATTTATTATTATCTTAGGTTAAAATTGTTAAATTTAAATTCTAAATAATATTTTATAAAATTTCAAAACAATCAAATAATTTTTTGTGTAAATGAAATTATTAAATTAATACTGTAGGTGGAAAACATGAAACACTATTAAAAAATTTTGAAACATAAATTACATAACTTTCAAAAAAGTATCGATCCTTTTTTATAAAAAGTGTATATACTTTCAACATATCAAGTAAATTTTACCGGTTTTGTCATAATGAAACTGATTTTGTCATATTTTTACCTGTTATATTGTAAAGTATTTATCCTTTTTATAAAAGGATCTATATTTTCAACATATTAGATAAATTTTAATGGTTTTGTCATAATGAAACTGATTTTGTCATATTTATACATGTTATATTGTAAAGTACCGATCCTTTATATAAAAATATCGATACTTTCAACATATCAGGTAAATTTTATCTTTTTTGTCATAATGAAACTGATTTTGTCATATTTTTAATTGTTATATTGTAAAGTATTAATCCTTTTTATAAAAGGATAGATACTTTCAACATATTAGGTAAATTTTACCGTTTTTGTCATAATGAAACTGATTTTGTCATATTTTTACATGTTATATTGTAAAATATCGATACTTTATAGGCGCTATTACTGCTTTTCTTTTAAATTCTAAAAGTGTCGATACTTATTTAAATGGAATCGATACTTTCAACATATCCGGTAGATAGTTTAATGTAATAGGTAGGTATTTCACTGTAAAAAATATTAATTTAAGGTTATCTTTTTGAGTGAGATTTAAGATATTAATTTATTAATTATACGCGTCTAATGAATTATTTTTTATGTTATGGTATATATTATTATTAAATTAAAAACAATAAACATAGATATTACATATTTATTATTATCTTTGGTTAAAATTGTTAAATTTAAATTTTAAATAATATTTTATAAAATATCAAAACAATCAAATAATTTTTTGTGTAAATGAAATTATTATATTAATATTGTAGGTGGAAAATATGAAACACTATTAAATTTTTTTAAAACATAAATTACATAACTTTCAAAAAAATATCGATTCTTTTTATAAAAAGTATTTATACTTTCAACATATTAGATAAATTTTACCGTTTTTGTCATAATGAAACTGATTTTGTCATATTTTTACCTATTATATTGTAAAGTATCTATCCTTTTTATAAAATGATATATACTTTCAACATATTAAGTAAATTTTACCGTTTTTGTCATAATGAAATTAGTTTTATCATATTTTTACCTGTTATATTGTAAAGTATCTATCTTTTTTATAAAAGGATCTATACTTTCAACATATCAGGTAAATTTTACCGATTTTGTCATAATGAAACTGGTTTTATCATATTTTACCTGTTATATTGTAAAGTATCTATCCTTTTTATAAAAGGATCGATATTTTCAACATATCAGGTAAATTTTACCGGTTTTGTCATAATGAAACTGGTTTTATCATATTTTACCTGTTATATTGTAAAGTATCTATCCTTTTTATAAAAGGATCGATACTTTCAACATATCAGGTAAATTTTACCGTTTTTGTCATAATGAAACTGGTTTTGTCATATTTTTATATGTTATAGTGTAAAATATCGATACATTTTTATAAAGTATCGATACTTTATAAGCGTTATTACTGTTTTTCTTTTAAATTCCAAAAGTGTCAATACTTATTTAAATGAAATCGATACTTTCAACATATCCGGTAGGTAGTTTAATGTAATAGGTAGCGCCTATTTTTTTTTACCGTTTACATTATTAAAAACCTTTAAAAAAACGGTAGGTATTTTAACGTAATAAATATTATAAATTTTATTAACATTTATTCCTTATGTAAGTTTATTATAATTG